GTAACATTCCTCCAACTGTCTACCTGCTGTGTATGAGAAGTGACCTCCTCCATAGAAACTTCCTGTGTGTGTTCCCCATCAGGGACCGTCTGGTCCATTCTGTCCAGGAAAACCTCTTGCTCCCTAATATGCTGAAGTGTCCCTATCTGGGCTTCAAGCTGCTGGACCTTCTCTTCCAACAGGGCTACCAACTTGAAGTTACCTACATGCATAGGCAAAAAGACAAACATTCCACAAGTGTTGCAGGTGACTGCAGCAGCTCCCTTACTGTCCATATTGAGAAGTCTAAAGTAGTCAGTAAAACAGGACTCTGGGCTTCCCCCTCCAAAAGTCCCCCATTAAACAGCCACAAAAAGCCCCCCTGTTGGCCTGGCCTTTTCACCAAGCTCTGTCAGCAAGCTGAAGAGACTGGATCTATAGCTATAGAGAGAGCTATGATTGCTAGCTCCTTCCCCAAGCAAGTCTGTGACTCACTTCTTCTGAGCAAAAGCCCCCCACTTAGCCCCTCAAAGAAAAACAGTTAAAAAGTAACAGAGAACCCCCAAACACAGCTCCCAGCTCACCTTCTGCTCTGTGTTCTGAGTCTTTCCTGACTGTGAAACTGTATGTGCCGTTAGGCATGCACCTCTGGTAGCAATTACAAACAGCTAGGCTGCTAGCTCTGCCCCACTGACTCACAAAAGCCCCATCACTTGGGAACAAAAACACCCAAGTTTGAAAAATGGCAAATAATGGCAAAACAGATATGGTAAAATGATGTACAATAACATCCAAACCCCACAAAACTTTTTAGGTCAACACTCATGCTGGAGATTGCTTGTTGAGGGGGAGATTGCTTGCTTCTCAAACAACAGGGGAACAAAACCCTGTTGTTCACAGTGGCTGCTGCCTGGTCAGTGGGGACTGTGGAACTTTCATGGTCCTGACATATTCCCTAAACTAGTGAATAAATAGAGGTTGTGAATAGAAACCAGTCAGAAGTGTTGTAACTACACATTCATAATTCCAGCCAATGTCAATAAAACACTGGAATCTCTCAGAGTGTGGTGGAGCCTCCTTCCTTGAAGGTCTTTAAATAGAGGCTGGATGGCCATCTGTCAGGGATGTTTTGATTGTGATTTCCTGCATGGCAGGGGGGTTGGATAGATGACCCTTGTGGTCTCTTCCAACTCTATGGTTCTATGATTTTGTCATATAAAAATGTCAATAACTATTTGTCCCATTAATAAGGTCACCAACTGTAATCTGAGGGCCAATGCGTTGTAGTGGTTAGTATGCTGGACTCATACTTGGAAAATCCAGTTTCTAGTCCTCTATGGGCTCTGAAATTCACGGATCTTTAAGTCACTGTCTTTCAGCTTGTTATGAAGATAAAAAGAGAGGGAAAAGAGAGTGCTGCCTTAAGCTCATTAGAGGGAAAACTGGATTATAAATGGAATAAATAGGTAAATAAGTCACTAGTAGAGCACCTGAAAGTAACCAATTAATACCATTACTTTTCAGATAAGATACATTTATGCTGCAACACAAGAACATACATTAGAGGGAGATGGAGAGCTGTGGGGGGCAGATGGGATATAAATGTAACAAAGTCAAATACAATAAAACACTCACAGGGGAATACTGTGCACATTTTGTAGAAAAATAGAACGGGGGAAACTCCAAATTTTGCCTTCTCTTTCCTGCCCTCGCCCCCCTCTTCCAGAGCTGAAAACTCTTCTTACAGTTCCAATTGCTGTCCTTATCTTCCCTTGTTCATAGTTGCTGACAGAAGCTAAACACTTCCATCCATCCCTACCTATTACGTGGATTTAATCAAATGGCTCAGCAATAACATGTTTGGTGACAACCAACTTAGTTACCCTGCTGAGATAAAGGGTTGATCAATGCTCTATTATTCTTTAATTTATTGGCTTTCCTTTCTTTGTGGTACACTCTTAGCTCAATTGCATTGAGTTCACTGTACTGCGGCAGCCCAGTCCTTTTAGTATCCCTTATGGGAGAGGTAGGGAGGTGACAGCCTGTGGGCTTCATGGAGACCCAGGACTCCACCCTTGTGATTTTTGAAGACCCTGCCAGTCCCTCAAAGCCTCCTTTTCATATAAGTGTTAAAGAAGTGGAACCTCTCAGAAATAAAAGAAGTGGCAGCAGTCTTAATTCAGCACTGCAGAGGGTTCAATATACAAGGGTTTAAAGCCAGGCTATGACAAGTTCAGTCATGTTCTTGAGCTGGATAAGTTGTCCCAGTAGGTTCTTGGCCATCATTGGTCACCTCCCCCTGGCTTCCATGTTCACTCCTCACAGTAATCCTCACAGTAGCTGGTGGGGGGAGGAGGGATCTTTACTGCAATTATGCATTGTTTGTTGTTGTTGTTGTTGTTGTTGTTGTTTTCATGTGCAGTCGGCCCTCCTTATCCACGTAATTTTTATCCACAGATTGAAACATCCACAGCTTAAAAAGTATACATTCCAAATAGCAAACCTCAATTTTGCATTTAACATAAGGGATACCAGTTTGCTATGCCATTGTATATAACGGGACTTGAGCATCCACAGACTTTCTTATCCACAAAGATGTCCTGGAACCAAACCCCAACGGATACCAAGGACCCACTATATGTCCCACTTTTCTCTCAACAGTGGGCTATGCAAAAGCTTCAATAAAAATACAAATCTAAATCATTTAAAAACCAATTAATCAGAAAAGTTAAAACATTAATCATTGTAATTTATTAAAAATAAAACATACAAACCTTAAAAAGTCACTCCACAGCATCAAAAGCTCACCCCAATCACAAGGTAATTGTTATAAACTACCTTCTTGACGTACAAGACATTTTGGGGCAACTTCATCTTGAATGAGTATTTAAAGTCCACTAGCTCTCCTGGTAGCAATGGAAACTGCTGGAACAGGTTCACTGATATGACTCAAAATACCTGCTTGCATTGTTGGGCTCTTCTTGGCAGAAAATGTTCTAAGGGGAAGTTTTATAATGAATGCTGGTACTTCAAAGTTTACCATTATGCCACTAATGGTTGCGTCATTTTTATTTTTATTTTAGATCTAAAAGCTGCCATTTCTTTGTCGCATATGACTTTTCCCATAGCTCTAACTGATCTGCTCTCTGTGCAACAGTGCTGGGAATTTCATCTATGTAAGTGTCTGGTATTCTGAGTAATCCTAACAATCCCTGAACAGATTGAACATCAAAAGAGCACAACTCCTCTCTAAAGACTCAACAACACATGGGTGGTGGTGTGAAAATATGAAGAGCATTAAAATGACAAATTCTAGAGTAAATATTTTAAGGATACATTTTAAAAACAAATGACAAAATGGAAGATTTATTGTGTTGGGAAGAACACTGGTAAGATAAGCAATTAAGCGCTGTGAATAAAAGAACAGCAGCCACATACAAGTTTGGCTCAACAACATCTGGATCTGAGACTCAAGAAGCAGTAGAGAAAACCTTAATGAGAATGCAAATAGCATTGAAAATCTCTGCAGAAAAGTTAGTGGTTTATAAAACTATCAAGGCAGAAACTCCTGGAAGGCATGCCTGCTGTTGGAAAAAGAGATTAGGATAATTCAAAAATTATTAAGAAATACCTCTTAGGTCAACTGGGGTAGTTACTGTCCATGGCACATCTGCTGATGCATTTGAAAGCCCAAATTTCATAAACTGAATGTTCAGATACTTGATCATTCTGGTGACTCCTAAGATATCAAATTAGGTTCCATTTCCCCTTATGACCAGTGGTTACAAAGGCCAAAATTCTGTAGATGACATACACTAGGGATGGGAAAAAATATTTTTAAAAATTTCAAAAGGATAATTGAAAATCTTGTTCCTCAAGTATCTGGAAACCATGAAAAGGAGAATCCTGGACTGATGAGAATCTTTACAGTCTGTGATTTATTATGCACATTTAACACCTTTTTTGTGCATTTGTTGCATAGAAAATACCATTTCTGAACAGAAAGAATATTTTCTAGCACTAAATGCTGTTTCCTGTCCAAATTTTGTTTAGAATTACATCATTAATATAGACAAATGTTATGTTATGTTATGTTATGCTTGTGTGTGTTTCTTTATGGTTGTTGTGGATGGGCTGTTCTGTCTATAGTGAACCCAGCATCCCACTCCCAAACTTCCTATCTTTTGATGATGTGCTCTCCATTGCCATTTAGAGGTCAGGGGAAGCTGCTGTTTCAACATCCAGTCACAGGAGGAAAAAGTCATCCTCCTGGACCTCCTGAGAGGCTTCTGGAGGTCAAGGAGGATGGTGTCATCTTCCTACAACCAGCTGATGGAACATAGCCAGCCATTGCCTAGCCTCAATTTATCCATAGAGCAAACTAGTTTAGTAGGCCCAATATGATCCAAAGACACTAAAGTGGAACGTATAAATTCATGTTAGTAGTAATGTTTGGATCAGTCATTAATCAGAATCGAGATTCAGTCAACATTCTGTGCAGTTTCAAAGGCAACCCCACATATAGCACATTACAGTAATCCAAATGGGATGTAACCAAGGCATGTATCATGTGGCCAGCTCCTATATCTCCGGGAGCAGGCACAATTGGAGCACTAGTTTTAACTGTACAAATGCACCCCAGATCACTGCTGAAACTTGGGCTGCCGGGCTCAAAAATAGATCCAAGATTACCTCCAAACTGCAAACTTGTATTTTTAGGGAAAGTATAACCCCATTTAACATAGGCTGAATCTGTATTCCCAGATTTTTCTTTCAACTGACCAGGAGCACTTCTGTCTTATCTAAATTGTTTGCCCCCATCCTGTCCATTACAGCTTCCAGGCAGTGGTAAAATTCAGATATAGCAGTGTTAGTCTGTAGAATCAGTATGTAGAGAGATCTTGTAGCACCTTTCAGTTAGTCTCAAATCTGCTACAAGATTTCTCTATATACAGCTTCCAAGCACAGGAACCACATTCTTGGAATTGAGTGGAAGGGAGTAATAGAGCTGGGCACCATCAGTCAGTGTGACATAGTGGTTTGAGCATTGGACTGTGACTTTAGAGGCAAGGGTTCAAATCCCTGCTCAGCCATGGAAACCCAGTAGGTAACCTTGGACAAACCACACTCTCACAGCTTTAGAGGAAAGCAAGGCAAACTCCCTCTGAATAAATTTTGCCAACCCTGTGATAAGCTCACTTTAGGGTCACCATTAGTTGTTGTGAAGGCACACAATAACATTAGCTGACATGTAACTCCAAAACTGTGGACAACCTCTCCCAGTTGTTTCATGCAGATCTTAATAGCACAGCATACCTTACCCTTCAAGGCATAGTACCACATCAATAAATCACATTTCAGTTTTTTTTGTTTGTTTTTTTAAACTTTGGAAGATTGCTACAAACAACCCCCCTAATAGAATGAAACAAGTAGATCCAGTTGTGACATACCCAAAGAGCTATATCATGAGAGTACATACTTCTTTAGATTGATATGAGCACTATATTTCCCTGGAGCACATTCTAAACAAATATAAGATTGCTTCTTACAATGAGGTGTCTCACCCACCTCTATAAAGTTACAATAATTTAATTCTTTAGACATTTTTCTTATGTAGGGTTGCATTCCAGCAATTTCTTTCCCATAGAATTGTCTGTCCCTTTCTAAGTTGATGCATTGTTTCTCCTGGGCTAATCATAGAATCATAGAATCATAGAATCATAGAGTTGAAAGAGACC